GCGGGGGTGTGTAGGGGTCCTGGCTTTTGGCTTGTTCATCTGAAGCGCATTTCGGTTCCTGTGTGGGACGTCGTTGCAGCTTCTCTCTGCACAGAGGTGGATGTTGCCCTGGGGTCTGCTGGGTCCCTTTCTGCCTAATGGAGCAGTGAATTGGAGAGGCCAGAAACCTCCGGGATCTGCTTGAGCAGTAGGAAGGGCATATCTGCGCTAAGTGCTGCTCCACTCAGTTTTGAGTTTCATTTGCTTGCTTGTTTTAACATAAGTTTTCCCCTGTTTTGGCAAGGCAGAGGGTGCGTGGTGTAGGCGGTCACCGCTGGATGTGCCCAGCAGCAGGTGCGCACACGGCGCAGGCTGTTAGTGCCTTGAGAATGCCCTTGGGTGAAGCAGCTCGTGTCTCCCTGCAAGGTGCTCCGTTGCTGTTTGTGAGCCCCCCGCAGCTGTTGGCTGTGTTGGGGTTTGGTGAAGAGTGCCTTTGCTCCTTACTCCAGCGGTCTGCTGCTGCTGACAAGGGAAGAGGCTTCTCCTGCCCCCCTGCACAACTCCAGGCCCGTGTCCTGCCTCCTCCTTTGCTCTGCCAATGTAGTTACAGCGGTGGTGAGCATTGGACCAGGTCATTCAGCCTGAAGAAGAGTGTCCTGAGTCTCACAGCGTGGGGAGCTGCTCCGCGGGAAGGCAGTGGGCATTTGAGGAAGGACCAGTGCTGCTCTGAGCATGGACACTGGTTCCCCTGGGTTGCAATGCCCAGAGGGAAGGAGGGACAGTTTGTGTGTCATGGGACTGCTGGCAGAACTACAAAATGATGCTTGTTCTCTTCAAGCCTATTTTTTTCCTACCTTTTAATGTTTCTGTGAGGCTTATACTGTTACTTGTGGTGTACGAAATGCCTTCTCCCTGTTCTGTACCTTTGAGTTTCTTGCACGTCTTATCTAGCTGCTGTGACAGACATTGTAAATATAGGCTTGGTTTGGTCTCTGTGTCCACTGGTTTATATAACTTCCAGTATTCTACGTGATGGGGTTACCAGTGCACTCCAAAGCTCAGCAGTCAGACCAAGTTTACGTCTCTGCAGTGACAGGGACATGTTAGGAAAAATAAGGATTAAGAGACAGTATGAGATGTCGTCTTCTCTATCAAAGATAAGGAATTATACAAGAAAAGGTTAAAGGTGGTAAAGGAAGGAAATATGAGAGAACCACCTGTCAAAAATAGGAAGACATCTGTTTGAATGTCAGGGGCCAGTGGGACTTGTCTGAACCTGAAGGAGAGGATGATTCCCCTTTAGGTGAGGACAGTGTCACGCTTCTGCTCCCCTTGGGAACATCCTTATGCTGGAGCACATCAGCCTATGGAAGCAGGTTAATCTTTTCAGGAGCAGTTTTGTGGACAAATAACAAGATTGAAAATGTGCTCAGTAAGAAACTTTGCATGTATTCGGAGAGCAAGATTTGTTTTGTACTGCTCAGTGGCACAGCTGACTGCAAGGCCACGTACCCAAAGTAGGAGCCCTTGTCTGTTGTGAAAGAAGGACACTGAAGCAATTAGAAAATAAAAGTTCAGCTGGATGCAGCAGGATTTCAGTGGGGATGTTCCAAGTGAGGCGCAGCATGTAGTGTTTCTTTTCATTTGTAACTTCCAAACGCTGGCTTTAGAGCTCGGCAATGAATACGTGGGGGTAGATATCATGCTCTGGGCCTCCTTCCCCACGCCTCATGAGCAAGAATCAGGTTTCCTGATTCATCCCTGGAGAAGGGAGACTTGCCAAACAAAACATGCGTATCAAATAAGCAGGTAATCACTCCTTCTAGGTAGACTTAAGCTTCTGTAGCATTAACACTTGTTTTCCAGGAACCCAGAAAACACATATTATTCTCCTTCGAAAAGCAGAAAGAGCTTTTAAAAGATGGAAACATCTGGGGTTTGCACCTGTTGGAAGTCTTTATTGCCTTTAATTTGCCATTAGCTTATGCCTTTAGGTGCGTGCACTTAAGAGGGAGGTGTGGTAATTTTTGTGCTGTTCATATATCATGGAACAACTTCCTTTAGCTGGCAGTTAGATGTTAAAGAGTTAATGTGCCCAGGCCTTTTGCCACAGTTCTCCCAGCAGATGTTCATGTGCTGTGGCTGATATAATGGATTCCTCTGAAGAAGGTTTTTTGCTATTCAAACCAGGCAGACATAAACCTCAGAAACAATATTGTCACATGTTTTTCTTTTCTCTCTCGTTCCCACTTGCTGCAGAATACTGTTAGCTAGCCTGAGGAGAAATGCCTCTATCGCACCTTGTATATCTGACAAATATTTGTGTTTTCTTTCCTTACCCATGCCTACTTCTAGCTTGATATCTCAGTGTTCTTTCAGACAAACCTGGAATTTACAAAAGGATTTAGATTTTTTTTACTCTGTTGATACTTCCTGATATTGAGGTCAGTTTCTCTCTCAAGAAAAACAGTTGAAATGAGATCATCTCCCAGTTTTCTTAAGGTGACACTTCTTTGAGATACAAATTATGCCTGTTTGTTTTCACTACTTTGCAGCTGTAGCTACGTCTAATCCTTAGTCTGTGCATTTATCCACTAGGGTACCTGACCTTTACTGGTATATTAGGGCTTGGGGAGAAGTATGTATCACTAAAATTATCAGAAGTTTTTAAATGCATATGTATTAGTAAATAACAGAAATCGTATTATGTGAGGGACTCGGAGTAATCTTAGGACACACCAGTATTTCCTTAACTACACAAATTCTTCTTAAAGTACACTAGTTGATCTCTTTGTGTTTACAGTTGTTTGATAAAAAATATTCTAGGAATTGTCATATAATACCTTTATTAGTAGGGAAAATTACAGAGTCTGGAAGGAGGGAAAGACTTTAATACACTTTCCCATGTACTGTTTTAGTGGCTTTCTATGTTAAATTTTCTGCTTTTTGGAAAGTATGAGATACAGAATCTGAAATCACTTGTGTGGGTTTCTTGTTGGTATTTTACTGGGTGATGGGAACTGTACGTGTAACAAATACGTTGCATTGGAAATGAGGATAAGAAGCATTATCCACTGACTAGATTCTTACTAGTTTTCCTTCCTGCTTTCAAGCTACCCATGTCTCATGGAACCAATCATTATATAAAATAATTAATTGAATAAATTCCTTTTCTCCTAACAGCTCTTTCTCTTCCAAAGAGCTTTTTAGACAAATGCCTTTATGCTGATATTCTGAACTTTGTTTAATTCGGAACACCCTGGTTTATTGCAGGTAACTGCTGATGAGGGGATCCTGCACGCTTCTGGACGTGGTGTGCCTCCGGTAACGAAGGATTACTGCACAATTTACAATTCTAACTGGATATCTCTTCCAAAGAGCCTGGACAATGCTGTAAGTAGTTTGTAATCATACTCCCTAAGAAAGCTGACTCAAATTCATATTGCATTCTAGTTGTAACTGGTCTTCAGAGTTTTGAGTTAAGTAGGTGCTACACTGAATATTTACCTTTTTGGGCCATTTGTCATGTGTTTGTGTCCCCCATCTCTACAGTGAACATTTCTATACCTTAAAAAGTCAGCAAAGGTGATACTCGCTCTGTGCTTAGAACCAGTTTCAAATATGTTTACATATTCATGTGATTGTTATTTTTTTCTTCAGGTGTTATCAGTATGTCTTAGACCTGGGAGTAAAACTTCCGTTTTTCCCATTTGTTTACAAACATTTGTAAAATTATGAAGCAAATTTCTTATATTGATTCATCAGTTTGATCTTCTGTTTAATTGTCATGAAAACATGTGGTGGAATAGGAGATTATCTGGACTGTATCAGCATGCCGTATTTTCTGAGCATGTTTCTTTGAGCCAAACTAGAGCATGAGGCAGAAACAAATTTTATTTAGGTGTTCTTCACATAAACAGGAAACACTTTGTGTTTGTAAATGATTAAGGCACTCATCTCTCCCTTCCCTCCTGTCATTCATTAACACATTTACTCAAGGTAAAACAGAGTAAAAATAATTTTTCTGTCCCAGACATCTTTGCTGTGCTACTTTGTCCACTGGGATGTCTTGACTAACTGAAGAAGACTGACAATAATGTAAAAATAATTGTCAATATGTAATTCAACTTTGAAATAAGGGTGAAAAACTTTAAAAAATTATTTTGTTATAATATGTTGTCAGGCTTGCCAGCTATTTTTGAAACAAGTATCATGCTTCAGAACTCTGGTTATGTTATATCCCCCTGTATTTGGCACTGGTGAGGGTGCACCTTGAATACTGTGACCAGTTTTGGGCCCCTCGTGAAAAGGAAGACATTGAGGTGCTGGAGCATGTCCAAAGGAGGGCAGCGAAGCTGGTGAAGGGCCTAGAGAGCTAGTGGTACAAGGAGTGGCTGAGGGAACTGGGGTTGTTTAGTCTGGAGAAAAGGAGGCTGACGGGAGACCTTATTGCTCTTTGGAACTCCCTGAAGGGAAGTTGTGGTGAGGTGGGCGTTGGTTTTTTTTCCCAAGTAACAGGATGAGAAGAAATGGCCTCAGGTTGCGCCAGGGGAGGTTTAGGTTGGATATTAGGAAAAATTTCTTCACCCAAAGGGCTGTCAAGTGTTGGAGCAGGCTGCCCTGGGAAGTGGCAGAGTCACCGTCCCTGGTGGTGTTTAAAAGCCGTGTAGGTGTGGTGCTTAGGGACGTGGTTTAGTGGTGGACTTGGCAGTGCTGGGTTAATGGTTCGACTCGATCTTAAAGGTCTTTTCTAACCTAAACAATTCTATGATTCTATCCATCAGTGCTCTTTTGGCTTGTGAAGCCTGGAAATATCACAGAGTGTACGCTGGATTCCCCAGAACTACAAGCCGTGATTTTCCTATATGTCCAGTTTCTTATGTTTAAATCACAGCAACAACTGCAATGAAATTGTGTTTATAAACAGCTAGATATTTCCGCTATACACTGCTCTAAATGTCCCTCGGTATTTCAGGCTGCAGAAACCACTGCTCTGATTTTATATTCCTGAATTAATGATTCCTTTCTGTTACACCCTCTTCTGGCAAACCTCAAAGTAGGGAGCACAGTAATGTAGTCTTCTAGATTAGTTTGCAGGATCAAATTTCCAACTTTCATCATGTTCCTTTTCTCCCTCTTCTCTCTGTAGACTTTCATGACTCTGGAAAACCTGACTTCCACCGTACTCTGCAGTCATCCTGAAGCTCCTGCATTAATCTGCTGAAGCTCCTGCCTTAATGAAGGACAAAGCAGTTGTAGTGTTGAGAGGAAACTGCACTTTTTTGGAGAAAGCAAGAATTGCACAAAATTCAGGTGCTAAAATGCTGTTGATTGCCAGTAAAACTAGGCTGGTAAGTAACAACATAGAGTTTTCTTCTGTAGTGAAGTAGTGTCTGATCTATTTGGTCCAATGCAGTGTTGTGCAGGATTAGCTGAGAGAAACTCCAAAAGCGGAGGACCCTGACGGTGTGTGGGACTCCAGCACGACTCATTAACCTTCCCCACAGAGTGCTGGGCTGGTGTGACTGCTGTTCCTGAGACCCAGAGGGTCATTCTGAGTTATCTCTGTGCAAAAGTATCTACAGCTGAATTGTATTTTTAATCTGTTCCTTGTATCTTTAATCATGTTTCTGAATGTAAATGGTTGTCTTTATCATTCCCTAATTTTAGTGTGCTCTGAAATCCCTGTAATCTTAGATGATACTTTGGTTTAGACACATGTGATAAAAATAATCTGAGAAAATGTAATCCAAAATTGGAGATTAAAATAGGCATTTTGAGAGATCTTTACAGATACTTCTGTTGCTTTTTTGTCCTCTATAATGCTGCAACATGTATGCACAAGTATTTGTAATTTACTAATTTGTGTGATTATCATACAAAGTTATCTTGTTTTAAAAGCATAGAGAATAAAAACAGAATTTTGATTATCCCTTGTAATACTGTAAAAGCACAATAACTTTATAAATCCAGGTATGTTGGTAGCATCACTTGTTTCGATTTAACTACATCTGTCTTCATTAACCTTTTGCAAAAGGTGATGAATGAGGATTTGTTTTCTTCCTTCCTACAAATACACTGAAATGTAAAGGATAATCTGCTTTTAGGGATCTAACCTGCTTTGCAAATAGGCTCAACATACTTACCACTGACACTTTCTCTTTTAGTCTCCTCTTTCAGATAACAAGACTGATTTTGAAAATGTAACTCTTCCAGTTGCTCTTATAAGATATAATGACATAGTAGATATGCAGCTGGTAAGTAATATGACCTCAGCATGTTATGGTTTGTATAAACTTTGTTTTTTTGAACAAATAAATAATTACAGGTCAGATATGGATGTCTACGTGATTTGAATATGCGTAGATACTGCTTTCAGTTTCACAGAAGATGTAGTAAGTCATGGAAGTGTTAGTCTTCCTAATTCAGGTTAATTTGAGAGAATGATTAATTTGAACATTGAGAACTGGAAACATAATACCTAACTGGAGGGAGGGTAATCTTAGATGTCTTCCTGCTAAACAAGATAAGCCGCCTTCCGGTAGACTGGTCTATCAGTCAAGAGCTATAGCCTGAGAGGGCTGTTCCTTTAGCGCAGAAACTAGATCGGTTGAGCTTATATCTACTGGCATGGTATCTTTCAGGCAAGCAGTACCTTCTCAGGCTGGGTCTTCAGGAAGGTGTGAGGGGTTTTTTTGTCTTTGCCAGATGATGAGCTCTCTCTTTATATAGCATGACAGCATCTGTCACAGAGCAGTTAGGCAGTATAGTTTGAGATTCTGCTGACGAGTTCATGGTGAGATGCCAAGCATGTGTCATTAAAAGGTGGCAGTTGTGGCATCTCCTACACTTTATAAGCAGAGAAGTTTGTTTTGGGGGTATTTGGAGTTTGTTTTCCTTGACATGTAATATTAGGATACAGACTATTGCAGAAGGTTTTAAAGAAAACAGTGTCTTTTCTTTGATGTAGCTTTTTCTGTTATTTTGTTGTAGTTTTGTTATTTAGTGTCAAATAGCTTTGCTAGGCAGGAGTTGCACTGCATATGTTTTTTTGTGAATAACGGAGGCCAGCGCTAACCTGTGTAGTCTTAGCTTCTTGGATTGACTTTGCAAGCTCACTTCACCATTTCTGCTCTTAATCTTCAGAGCTGCCATGGGAGGTTGTCTTAGGTAAGTATGCAAACTGTGCCTAGATGTGTAGGACTGCGGCTGTTTTCTGTCTGTTCCCAATAAAGACTGGTTCTTGCCAAGCACTGACCTGACTGAAGGTTTGTGATGACTGTCCTCAGTCTGCTGTAGTCTTCATGAATACTGTGTTTTGGTTCAGGTTGTCCTCTGTCTTGAAATTTGTTCCTTCGAGGAAGACAAGTGTTGTTTGCTTAGTTGAGTGGTTTTAAAATATTCCCTGCTAACAGGAAAGGGAACTAGGGCAAGGTTAGATCCCTAATTTGTTCTGAATCTTCTCCGTGCCATTTGATTGCCTAGTGCTGTGTGAGGTGGTGTCATGTGGAATCAGTTCTGCATACCTATAGTAATTCACCAAAGTACCTTTGCTAGTAGATTAGCATGCCAGATGATGTCTCATACTGCTGTTGAATCACGGAATTTGGTTTTGTCTTATTGAGACTGCCTTTGTGAAAGTAGTGAGGAACACAGCCTAGACTACAAGTGATCCTTTCCTAGTTCTGATGTAGTTTTTGACAAAGCCTTCTGTCGTGTCACTGGCAGCTGTTTTGAATATGTGCTGCTTAGAAGCTGGCAGCCCTTGTATTCTTCTACTACAGTTGTATTTCTGTTTTAACTCTTCTCAAGGCTTCCAACTTTCTCCTTTTATTTAGAAGAGAGAGACAGCACCAGCCTGAGGGCAGCTAGTCTGTACAAGCATTCTTTCTACTTTTTCTTAGAAGACTTCATCTCTGTTAGCTTTCACAATTTAAGTCGAGTATATTATGAGTCTTGATAGCAATAGCAGCGTGCTGCAAACCTTTTAGTAAGTGGACAGCTCTCTTGCAGAGTTGTTACCTGATGGGATGTATTTGATTCTAGTGCTCCCTGTGGTGGAAGTTGAGAGTTTGCAAGTTTTTAGTGAAGAGCAGAACAATAGGAACCAAAGGGAACAATTACTCTAGATTCTAATCTGAATTACACTTCATAAAATTTATGAAATCTAAAAGAACAAGTGGATTAAGAGATGTTGGAATTGAATACTATAAATGTATAAGCCTTTAGGTTTCTTGGGGCGGAGGGGTGGTGCTTTTTTTGTGTCTATGTTTTGGTTTGTTGGGGGTTTTGTTTTGGTTTTTTTACAAGCAGGATGCTGTAACTTGAATAGGGTTTTCTTGCCTTTATCTAATGTTATGTTCCACTTCATTCAACTGCAGTGTTTCACTAGAATTTAACTTTATTTATTTTTTTCTGAACTTCCGTAACTTTAAGCAAAGGAATGCTTCTGACTTCTTTAGCCTGCAGTAAGGGTAATATCTGTAATTAGATAATTCAGACGCTGAAATGAATCAGCTTTCTCCATATATGGCCAGAGTATTCCACTATACTACTTGGCTTCCTATTCAGGCTCTCCACTGCCAGTTTGATCTTCCTGTAGCCAAACCTGCCTGGCATGTTCATCTCCTTTCCTGCTTTTATCCCACATGCCGGCTGTTAACAAATCTGTTTTTCTGCTGCATCTCTGAAGTCCGTTTTCACTGAAAGATTGCTTTAGATGCCTTGACTTACTTTGACTACAACAGCAAACCTTTCTTCCCTCCCACCTTCCATTTCCTGTCAAATTATCATCCTTTCTTTCTTACATCTCACCTTTCGGTCAAATGGAATCATCTTGGTTTTGCTTTCAAGATTTTTGCAGAGTCTGGTATCAGTTATGTCTCCGTGTTCCCTCCTATCTTCTTCAGTGTCCTTCAGATGATTGGGTTTTTTTTTTTTAACTTTGGTCTTAATTTTTTTTAAGTAGCACGAAATTGCTTTCTTTTTCTTTTGAATCCATCCCAAATCACGTTCCTGTAAAGCTGTTGTTAAGCAACTTTCTGCCACCTTGCATTTTCACTGTGTCCTGTCTGAAGCATTATATCTGTATCTGAACTGTGAGTTTTGTGGTTTCAAGTGCTCAAGGTAGGTGTCTGCTGATATCTCAGTGGACCTGAGTTTGTATTTCAAGTTCATCGACTCAGATATGCTTTCCTGCAGAGCAGAAGTCTTTGATAGTACTTGGTATATTTGAGGGATGAAAAGCTTTTGGGCTAGATGCACTACTTCTCAGAAGTGTTGAAAGAATGCAAAGAAGTACTGTTTTGCCTTGTGGTATCCATGTTTCCACAGCAGTGGTAGTAGGGTTATTTTCAAACCTGACCATCCTGAAAATGCATGGAAAGCATTGCTTCTCGACAATGACCTAGGCAAATACATGGGATGTCTTGTGCAATAAGTTGAAAATTGCTCTCAGCATTGTGTAGGTTAAGAGAAGGAAATGATGATGTCCATCTTGTTAGAGAATAAGCAATATAATTTCTTTGTTGTCCATATGAACCAACATGTATGTTTTGGGTTTGTTTTCTTTTAGACACTTGGAAATGAAGTTAATGTGACTCTGTATTCACCACCTTTGCCAGAGTTTGATTGCAGTATGGTTGTCATCTTCGTAATTGCTGTGTTTACAGTGGCACTAGGAGGCTACTGGAGCGGAGTAGCAGAACTGTAAGTTTGGGAGTAGCAGAACTTAAGTTTGTTAAATGGAACTGCTTAAATTATGCGAACTACAAATTTGCAGAAACTGTGACTCTGATCAGTGAGAAATTATGTTATTTTAGGTTGGTAGTTAAAAAAGTTAGAAGATCTAGGTGCAATTAGCTTCTTTGCCATGAAATGCTTGAGCACTGCAACCTTTGAAAAATCACCGTAGGTCTTTGAGGAACCTTGAGCAGTAGACTGTAAAAGTCCCTGAGGGATAATGCAGGTCTTGGGAGGCGGTTAATGTTTTGACAAAATTACCAAATACTCTATAACTAGCATTGTAGTACTCCAATGTCTGTAATAGAAGGTAGGTATCTTTGTGACACCTTTAAAATCCAGAGGTATGTACGTAGTTGTATGTGGTGTCTGCATTGGCAGGGATCTGTACAACTGCTTCCTCCCAGATGGCTGTGCAGCACCTCTGGGATGTCTCTGCAGCGCACTCCTGTCCCTAGGAGCACCGGGGAATGCTGTGTGGTTGCGTCTGGGTGGCTCCAGACAGTTAAAGTCCAGCCAGGCTTATCGCCTTCAGCTTTTGCTATCTGGTGGAGCAGCAGAGCTGGGGCAAGAGTAGCTCTGGGACTAGGCGGGGGCAAGGAGGCAGCTGCAGTCCCTGTGCAGGGAAGGGGAGGGAGTGGGAGTGTAGGAAGTGTCAAATGCAGGGAAACGAGGGGTAGCAGGGGTCTCTGCTTTGTGCTTGAGGGGTGTGCAGCTTTGTTCAGTGACGTGAAGCACACTAGATGCACAGAACTGTTTTTTAGTCTGGGGTTAAACTGGATATAGCTGGCCTTTCAAAGCATGGTATTATTCTGCCGTATTTCTTGGATGTCTGCATGTGCTCAAGGGGGCACTGTGTGTTACTACCCCAGGCTTCCCGTTCTCAGTGGTGTTTTAATGCTTTGCTCCCAGAACAACAGGGAGTGGATTGTACATGATACCAACAGCTTCCTCTTTCCCACTAGTTTTGCAAATCTAGTAATTTTAACAAGATTAAAGAATTAGAAGGAGGGGGTGTTTCTTTTTTTGAAGGTTGGACCTGATTATGCTTCTTTTTTACCCTGGAGTGCTATAGGGTGCGGCTGCACTGAATGCTAAAATAACAAAATATGATGCTGTCTCCCATATTGAAAAATACCTAGGTGTAATTATATTAAACTTGTTGAAGTGCACTTTCATAAATCTAGAGCGAGCTTTTTTTTTTTTTTAAAAAAAGCTGCTTATTCAAAGCATGTCCTCTGACAAGGTGATTCATCTAACAAAGGGCCTTATTCCTGTGGGTTTTTCTCTTTTGAAGGTAGGTGCTTCAGTGCTGAATTCAGCACTTTGTAGGTAGGTCCTGGGATTCGTCAGGAACATGCTATCTGATGGGCAAGTTGCACTCGTGTCTGTACTAAAGAGTAGTAGGGCTATCTGCTCAAAGAACAAACACAACAATTTAAGTCTCCTTACTTTGCATGGTGAGGTATAAATATGGAGTATGTATGCACAGGAATCTTACTGCCAGTGAAAATCCCCAATTACACCTCCTCTCTTTCACTTACTCTGTAATTATGAAGTGTAAGGGTAAAAGAACTAGTACTTAGCTAGTTTAATTCTGCTAACATGGATGCATTTTGCAGACACTTAATGTCTTTAGTTGAAGTTTTAAAACAGTGTGTTAATACCCATGATTTTGATTTATCAGAGATATATTTATCAGATTGACTTCATTTAGCCCAAGAAATTTTGTAGTCAGAGGTGATGCACTGATAGAGTTGAGTGTGTGCATCCTGAAAAGGAATTTGAGTTTTGATATCAAACTACTTTTCCTCACGTGGATCAGGGTTTTGGTTGAGAGTGCTCCTTAAAGTTGGCACTCACCACATGGTTGGAAAGGAGGGCAGTTAAGAAGCTTTTCCTTGTGATCTTTGCTAGGTTCAAAGTGCCTATCTCCATTAAAAAATTGAGAGACTCAAAAAATAAGCACACCATTTTTCTGTCATTGTAAGTCTAACAATGGTATGAAGGATTAGATGGAAATGCTGCAAGTCTAAGTGCTTTATAACCAACAATTCTTGTCATAGTAAAGTGTTTTCATAAGGTGTCATCTGAGGTAAACGTGTTTGTCATTTTCTTAAAACAGTGAGAATTTGAAAGCAATAGCAAGTCCTGGGCAGAGAGAAACAAGACGAAAGAAGGAAGAAAATGTTACTTTCACCACTGTAACAGTTATCTTGTTTGTTGTCATCTGTTGTGTCATGCTGGTCTTACTTTATTTCTTCTACAAATGGTTAGGTAAGAAACAAAAGCCATATTTCTAAACTAACGTTAATGTAATTTTTAAAATATTTTCACCATGTACTTGTTGAGGGTTGAAAAGATGTAGTTGCTACTTAAAAAAGAGAGAAGCTTTCTTCTGCTCTCTTACAAAGGCTCCTTTGGCAGTGGTTATTCTGAATGAAGTAATGTGGGGGAGAGGTGACTAGTAAAAAGGTATATGATGTATGTTGATGTTCTTGGGAGGATGGCAATGATAACTTGGTAGCGTTTAGAGTGAAAGCTTTTGCTAGGTATTGCTACACTGATGCTGAATTTGTGGTTGCAGTGGCCTAATGAAAGTACCAGTAGAAATGGCATTACCATAATGGAATAAACACAGGCATACTAGCAACAAGCTACAGTCTTGAATTGTGCAATTCCAGTAAAATATAGTTTCCAAACTGTTGGTTGATTTATTTTTTCCTGCCATCAAATCATGCAACTAGAAAATGTACCCTGTTTTAAATTACTCTTTTTAATATGAACAATGTAACTTTCATTGTGAAAGCTTCCAAAATTCACTGTTTCCTTGAATTTGTTACCAGTTAACCTCCTGCTTCTGCAAAAAAAAACCTTCACAATCCTGATTTCTGATTTTGTTTTTCTTTTTTATCTTGACTATGGGCAATGCTACCTTTACTAAACTTGTCCCAGTAAAAGACGGATGAACCTTAAATGTGACCAAAAGGTTTAGGTTAAAAATGTCCCCTGTTTACTCTTGAGATGTTTCAGGTGAGATTTAGGAAGAAGTGAAGAAAGAGACTTCTTAAAGGAGAAAGGGAGAGGAGTAACAAATTATTTAGGGGGAGGAAGAGATGTAAATGGTTCAAAGAAAATATGTAATAGCTTTTTGCCAAGAAGCCTTAGTTCTGTGCACTTTGAAGCAGACATATATGAAATTTCTTGGAGGTAATGAAGCCATGACCTTGGTATGACTTGCTGTTCCAGGGAAAAAATTGTATTTAATTAAAAACAAGCAACCAAAAAAGCCCCACTTTGATATGTCAGTACTGTAGTGCGTGAATGTACATCCTAATGTCAGTACTTGGAGTTAAGACTGAGTGTTTCCAGCACAAAGCCAGTTGCAAAGCTGAGCTCTATGATGGAGTTCTTTGTATCTCTTATTGTAAGTATTCCGGCATTATTAATTCTGCATTGTTGCCTCAAAATTTGAGATTCCCTGAACAGTTGAATTCTTACTTCAGAGGAACCCGTTGTGCAAAACTTCTTGTTATGCCTGTTGGGGGCTTAACAGTTCATAATGGCGCATGATCTTGATTACAACTATACAAATCCACCCTTCTTGCCTGTTTTGTTCAGTATTCTGCTTATAGGTTTGAGAACTGCTTTCTAGCCAGACTTTCACTACCAAAAAAAACCAAAACCCAAAACATCCCAAACCCCAACTAGCAAACAACTGGTTTTGTTGTTTGTCTGCATTTAAGGGTGCTTACCATAAGTTAGAATACACAATATACTATAAGTTAGAACATGGAATATAGAGTTTTTTCCTAACCAGTTGGTTCCTAACTACACAGAAATTTTTGGAAGGGATGGGGTAGTTAGTATCTTACAATGCCACCTAAATTGTCCGTCAGTTATTGGGGATGCTGAAATTTTTATGCATAAGCAAAGTGATTAAAGGGAAGATTTGAAGTGAAGAGCATTTATTATGAGAAATTGAGAAAGCCGGTAGTTGTAAAATAGCACTTTGGTTTTAGCCATAAGCAAAGAAAAGTATGTGAAAACAGTAACAGATGACATATTTATTCTTAAAGAAAAGGGAGGAAAAATAAAAAAAGAAGGTTTTAAATTAAAAAAATTCAAAACTCAGGTCTTTGCTTGATGACAACTCTTACCATGGCAGAGATACTCAGAATTCAGCACTTTCTGTAACCAGCTGGCTGTAGTCTCCAATGACTGTGGTGAGCAGTGCTGTAACTGTTAACAGTTTCTGTCAAAAGTCCATCATTGTGTTTGATTCCTGTTTGCTATTTTTTTCTGTAGTATTTTGTCACTGATTTATCTTCCATTCTTTTTATTTAGTGTATGTTATAATATCAGTCTTCTGCTTGGCGTCTGCAATGAGTCTATACAACTGTCTGGCGGCACTGATAGGAGAAATACCGTTTGGGCAGTGCAGGTATTGTACACCTCTCAACTATTGTAAATGTAAGGTTGCTTTGGGGCATTTCCTGGTTGCTACTCAAGGTAGTGTGAAAATACTTGAACAGTTTGACAAATTGCTTCTTGTATGCTTTAGTGTGTGGGATTGTTATAAAAGAAAATTAAAAGCTCCTTTAGTAGATATTAAAGGTATCTGTAGCATAACCAACAGTTAAAGTAGTGTTGTGGGAGATTTGCTGCATTACCTTTATTTGGAATATAATCAAACTTGAAAGGCTCTGCTTGGGCATGTGGACTTGGTTTTACAAAATTCTGATTGCCTGAAGGGTGTGCTCACTTCGTTCATCAAGGAACTCTGTGAGGGGGGATCCTGCACGTTTGATCTGGTTTTGAGCAAGTACTACGCTATAGGCAGTGGAGGGTTTTTTCCTCATGTTAATCTGCACTGTTCCTCTGACAGACCAAGTTTTAACTCTTTCTTTTGAAGGCAACACATTGGTCATGTCCTCTGTGATAGAAGTTGGTGGTTACAGTCCTAACTCAGGTAGTGGGCTGTCAGTGTACAGATAGCTTCTTCTTACTACTCCGAGTTAAATATCCTGTAGGTATTAGTGAGTATGGGAATGTCCCTGTTTTCTTCCCCTGTGTTTTCACTTTTAAAATCTCTGACCTTTAATGCAACAAATGGTTCTTTTCCCAAAAATAACAATGCTTATAAGCTTGGAAGCCTAAGATTATGTTTGCATATGACTTAGTACGGGATATTGGTGCCAGGTGATCCAGTAGCCCGTCAAAGGTAGAGATTGTGTAGAAAAGACAGCAGTTTTTGTGTAAGCTGCAGGACAGGCATTACTTGTGTCAGTTAGTATCAGTTCAAGAACTGTCCCAGAAAACTGAGTAGGCAGCGGAAACAGATACTGGCTAACAATTTTGCAATACAGAGTTATTCCACTTTTAATCTTGTATTATGTTTCCTAAAATTGATCCCCAGTCTGCAATCATGACGTGACTGTCCCTCACTGACATAGTTCTGTTGGCATAATGGTTACATGACAGAAATGGATTAAAATTTATCTGCTCACTGCTTTCCCTGGATGCGTTTATGCGTTTGCCAAAATGGGGTTTGACCATCAAAGCCCAACTTGGTGTGCTGTCTGTGGGCATGTTTGTAACGCAGCCCAGAGAAGGACTGGTACTGCTGTTGAAAGAATGGTTCCACCTGAGTCTGGATGGAACAAATGGGCAAAGGAGGAGCTCTTGGGATGAGAACACCTTGTCAGCTTAAAAAGCTGTGATAGCACAGGCATGTGTATTGGCTGTTGCAGGCTTTCTTTTTTAATTTCATTATTTTCTTTTAGGATTGCATGTTGCAACAAAAACATTGAAGTGAGGCTTATTTTTCTAGCTGTATTCTGCATAGCAGCAGCTGTCGTCTGGGCAGTGTTTCGAAATGAAGATAGGTAAGTGATGCATTCTGACTTCAAAGAGTAATATGAATAATTGTCATTAATGAACTTCCCATCATATAACTAACTAATCCTGGAGCACTGTATCCTTCTAAACTTCAGTGCTGATTTCAAAAAAAAGTCATGAAATTATTTATGAAGCTTAACAAGCATGGGAATAATAGAGAACAAAGCTATACAAATGAACTGTGTGGTAATTTGAAGTTACAAAAATTATGAAGATGAGGAAGAACTCGCTTGATTACTAATGACTGCCACAGAAGAAAAAACAAAAGTGCAAAAATAGCATAGGGACCATAGGACCTGTGCTCCCTGGGGTCCAGTGGAAGCTCAAGACCACAAATACACAAATTTTGTAGTACAATCTTAAGTAGCATCTTGAGCCAGATGTTAAGTAGGGCTTCCAGTTGAGTGAACAATCATACAAGTGAACACCAGGGCCCTGTTATGGCTGTGTTCAACTCATTTTCTCTGTAGTGCACTGATGAAGAACAGTTACCTGTTTATGATCAGAGGCTAGTGTAAATTTACCATCTTGGAATTAGTGTTTTTGTGGTTTTGTTAGCAATACTTCCTAAAAACTAATTTCTTGCTTTCCAATCCATTTTATGACCTTGCTGTTTCCAGCAAAATCTGAAATCATTATTGCACTTAGATTCCAGCAGTAGTGTGAACAATGTGTAAAAACATGTTCTTATTTTTAGGTGGGCTTGGATTTTGCAAGATATTTTGGGAGTTGCTTTCTGCCTAAACTTTATTAAAACACTGAAAATGCCCAACTTTAAGGTACTGTAAGTTGCTTACCTTAAGAAGGTATTCTAATGCCATGAATCTGTATGTTTAGTGTCAAGAAGTAGGCTTTCAACACTGAAGAAATATATATTAAAAAAAAAGTCCCATTTTTAATAATTCTAGAGAGAAATTAAATGGGGCTCTTCCTTTTTTTTTTTTTTTTTTATTTAACATGGTGGTACAGTAATGGTACCAGAAGCTAGCTATGCAGTCCTTGAAAACCTATGGTAATATTTTCTTCTTTTTTTGCCAGTCTTGTGTGATACTTCTAGGCCTTCTCCTTCTGTACGATGTGTTTTTTGTCTTCATAACACCATTTATCACAAAGGTATGTCTGTGAATTTATCTTTAAAATAAAGGATGCTGTCTGGTCATTGGGGCAGTATTTTTGTCAAACAGATTAGTGTTTTCAGTATTCTCAATGCAGAAATGCTGATTTCGTTTCCTTTTTCACAAATTAAATAGCAGTGGCCTAAATTTTCATCTTGTATGGGCCATAGAGTGTAATGCTTGCGTAGGTGCCACAGATTTTGTTAAATGACTAAGTTGTCAGCAGTCACATGGCCAAAAGTAAGCTGCCCCAACCGTGTGACAGTATGATGATGAGAAATTACTGTCCTCCAGTTTCCTTCCTACTTTTGCTTTTAACACCCGTATATTGGAACATGCTCTAGTACTTTCTGCGATGCTCATTTGCAGTGCAGCGTGAATTGTATGCAAGTGTGCCTTCTTTTTTTTTATAAAACAGAAAGCTCATGGCAGAAAAAGCTGACACGTTTTTATCTAAACTTCTAGCTACACCTAGTGGACTTATTGTTTGTGGGTTTTTTTAAACAGTTATTTTAGGCTGGCCTACGCATTGTTAATGCAAAATAATACTGTATAATACTGTGTGATACTAGTGCATTCCTTTTGATATTCAGGATTTTTCCAATCCTGAATTGTAAGATGAGGTGCAAGCCATTTTCATAAATGTAGTATGAATGTTTTTGGTATATTAAACCACTAACTTTTGAAAAATAACCTTCATTTCAGAATGGGGCAAGTATAATGGTTGAAGTTGCAGCTGGTCCTTTTGGAAACAGTGAAAAGGTATGAACAGTTGTTTTAGTATGTGCAACATAAAAATACTGACACTGCGTAGCTAATTCATAGTGTGCTTTTTGGCATAGCTTTCTCACAAAACATAGCCGGCTTCTGCTATTTTCTTTTAAGTATTAAATACCTGTTGACTTGGGTTTGATCCTAGAATGATGGAAACTTGGTGGAAGTCCCTACTGAACGCTCAGCTCCCCATGAGAAAGTAAGAATTGTATTTCAGATACTGGATTTTTAAATTATTCCCTCTGAAAAGACTATTCTTTTGGGGAAAACGTGATTGTCCAAATTTCTCTTCAGGGCCTGGATATCATTGATCAATCCTCTATAGTTAGGTTAATAATCCAGACTTGTTATTCCCATTATACAGTTAAATGTTGTTTTAACTTTTTTTTTGGTGTGTGCATATTATTTGTAAATCTGAAATTCCAGCTTACCTGTTGCCTTACGCTTTATTCACTCTCTATGTTGGTTTCTGGTTTTTACTTTAGGTTCTACCTATTTCAAAATTCTGCATTAATAATAAATTAATTATATGAAAACCGTTTATTAATTTAAGTAAACAAAAAAACCAAAACACCAGGATGCTTTAGATTAGATTTATGTGGGCTTCTGAAATACTGTTTTACAGTTGCCTGTGGTAATTAGAGTGCCTAGACTTGAATACTCTGCATCGACACTGTGTGACATGCCATTTTCATTGTTGGGTTTTGGAGACATTATTGTTCCAGGTGAGCAAATGTTTTTGGCAATTGTAACTTATGATTAAATATTTTGGGTTTGAATCTCAACAGACTTAGAGTTTATTCTACAAAATAATTACTAAATCAAATGCAGCAGTTTGCCTTGATCGGTCAGTGCTGAATACAGCAAAAGCCACAATGTAAGAAAGCTGAGTATGTTACAGAACATGTAAACAGCGAAGGGGTTTTGCTTTTCTGTTGCACTGTATTGTGTAGATACAAGTCCCACAGATAAATCCAGTTGTCAGTATTAATTAAATCTCATTGAAATCTCACAGAGGGCAAGTATTCTGTGACTTCATAGTATTTTTGTATCCTAGACGATCTAATTAGAGGTGAGGTAACGGAAAATGTATTATCAAGTTTTTCCATCTCTCTCAGAAGAGCTGAATTTTGCCATCGTTGGAATCTTGAGCAAATTACTTAAGTCAGGCATAAAGCACCATCTTGTGAACAGTGTGCAGGCAAAATTGCTGATTGTTGAGAGCGAGCATTAAAAACCTATTGAACAGTATTCAAACTAGGTTGTTACTATTCTGTATTACAAAATTGAAAATAGCACAGTATAATTAGCTTACTTAGAAAAATGAAGTCTGCTAATACCAAGCTCACATGGCACATACTTCCATCATGGTTTTGATTTTCAAGACTTACTGTAGGATTTCCTAGAGTAGTTCTTGTCTTTCCAGAAATAAATGGGAAGAAGAAAACATACAGTTACGGGAAGTCTTACTATATAAATTATTTGTATGCTGCTTTGATTTGTAGGATTAGGGAGAAAAATGTTCATGGCTACATATTTCATTAAACCTTTTTTTTTTTTCTCCTTCAAGGGCTTCTGGTTGCCTATTGTCGAAGATTTGATGTTCAAACAAGTTCATCTTCTGTGTACTATATTTCCTGTACAATAGGTAAATGGTGATATTTCAGTAATGTTACTCTTCATGCTAGCTTTTTTTAAATGGCAGAACTAGATAGTTTTCTTCAGGTAAAGGTTCGGTGTTGTCAAGAATCTCTTTATCATCTCTTTTTAATGTGCCTGCCCATATTTACAGTGAGTATTCTTTACGGTAGTCAGTTGCTTTGAGAAAGCTTACAAATACAGAGCAACTTATTATCCCTCTTTTCTTCAATTATATTAACAAGGAAGATATTACTTTTTTTCAAAAATAATAATTCTGGCTTGCTAAATGAGTGTCTTAATTTAAAAATTCACCTGGTCTTGATTGTGTATTTATAAATATCTTTTTATAGCTTATGCCGTTGGTATGGTGCTGACTTTTGTTGTTTTGGCATTAATGAAGATGGGACAACCTGCCCTTCTCTATCTTGTACCATGTACACTCATTACTAGCTCGCTTGTTGCTTGGAGGCGCAAAGAGATGAAGAAGTTCTGGAAAGGAAGCAGTTACCAGGTAGGCTGGATGCCTTGAGTATTTTGTTGTTAATTCCTCTGAGTATATGCTTCTCTAAGTATGTGGTAATACATCACCTGCAATCCAATTTTTGCTAGTCTTCATGTTATCTTCTGGAACTAATAAGGAAAAATAGTCTTTACTCTTAGAAAATCTTAGTCTAGTAGTTGACATGGCAGAAAAAAGCTTAAGGGAGATGAAATAGCTGGTTCAGTACTCATGGGAAAAAGACATCTGTTTCATTTTCTTTGAAATGGTTTTTCATGTTTTAACATCCCTCAACTATCATCTTGAAGTGGTATAATGTGAGTCAGAGAACTAAGCAGGTGGATTACAGTCTGCACTAGTCCTGTGTTAAGACACAGTTCAAAAAAGTTGGCGATGAACTAGAATTTTAGAAACTTTCCATGCATCACTGATGTCCTGCCTCGTCAGCATTACCTGCAGCATTCAGCAACAAAACAGCTGGATCGTTATAGAACTCTTCTCTATCACAGCGCACACGGTGTGCACACTGCCTTGGGTATTCTGCATTTCCCCTTTGATTATCTCTAACACTACGCAGGAATTGCAGTCCTTAAAATCCCACCAGCTGCCTGCCTCTGCCTCTTGACATGTGCATGTTCCCCAGTCTGAACTGCTGTAGTAACCGAGTGTGCCAGTAGCCCTTGCGAGCTGGAATTTGTCATAAGACAGACCAGTCTTGAGATTACTCTAAATTTTGTTTGAGCCCTAAAGTCCAATATTGCTTGAATTCAGAAACTCTCACCTGTATCTAGGCTGTGCTGAACTCAGCTCAGAGAATGGGGAGGCGGGCAATGTGAAGTTGATGGTGGAAAGGAGCAACTCCTGCCTTTTCAACCTCTGGATTGCAAGGTTTAAGTGAATCAGTGGAAGTCAAGGTGGTGGTAATTCTTGTAAATATAGAACTGCAGGCATGCACCCCCTGTAGTGTTCCTAGTGAAACGCTCCCTTTTGTTGATCTAACTAACATTGTACACCTGCTTTGGCTGGAGGTTGGCTAGGTATGAAATTACTCAGGAGATCTTCAGCTTTAAGTAGATACTCTGTCTTTTTGTCCACGAAAACAACCCTTCTCCTTTCATAGGTCCAGTGAATAGAAATGTTTCTCTGTAGGTCAGAATGAATTTGGCTTACCATGCATTTGTATATAAATTGGTGACTGTTAGCTGTTCCAAAATAAACAGTGTCACATACATGAAGCCCAGTAACTCTGGGTCTGTTGTTGTTGTTGAAAAAAACTTTGCAATTTATTTTCCTCACTTGAGTTCTGAGTAAGATTGGCCTAAGTAAATCTGGCAACTCTTTTTAGTGACAAAAATATCTTGCACTTCTCATAGCGAAACTCATAGTTGGAAGAATTATGTTGCCATAGTAGTTATTTCATGTCCTTTCAACTGATTTCTTGAAGGATTAAAACTGCTCTGAACTTCAGCTTGCTTTGAGGTCAGCTGACTTGATTTCTGGCACAATTTAAAATGTTGATTTCCACCTCCACTCCACCACCCATGAGTTAGACTTGTCTGTGAGTGAACACCCCTGTGTAACTTTACTAACTCCTATTTTTCTATAACTTTCTGAAGAATTTTTTTCAATATTAGTTTTTTTCCAGAAGGTGTCATTCAAGTTTCACTCTCAGAATGCTGCAGTGTTGATCTTTCTCCTATATTGTCCTCCCCACGTAAAGCTGTATTTTGAACTATCCTTACTAAACTTACAAACATGCAAAAGAAGACCCCAAACCAAAACCCACACAACCCCACTCTCCAGCTTTCAGTGCTCATTCTGAGGAGGAAGGATATTGAAAGGTGACAGAACATTATTTTTTGCTACAACACTGGTAACTTTGGCTGGAGCAGAGCTGCACTATTGACAAGGGTGACCAGATTTCTGTAGAATTTTTTCTCTGTCCTCACGGGAACAGAGAAACCTTTCAGACTTGTTAGAGCAAAGCCTCCTAAGAACAGGGATACAAGAGCATGTACAGTGTAACAGGTGAATGCTGCTGTTTGTTTATAGTCCATTAGTGAGCTTTTCTGAGTTTTGTTTTTTTCTGTTTTTTATTGCATATGATTTTAATAATGGAATGAATTTTATTTAGGTATCGGACTCCTCCAGGACGCCTTTGCTACAAGGTGTGATTATGGCCTTCTTTTAATGCAACTTTATTAATCATCTTGTGGTTTCTTTTTTCCCTTCTGCTTCCTTTTTTCATTCTTTTTTGCATCTATCTTCTTTTTAATTTTTAGGAATAATTCAGTAGAAGAGGGTAGAAATGAAGACAAGCTATAAAACCCTTTTTCTGCTTAGGTGTTTGTTTTCTTTCTTTCTTTAAAGGAATACAGGAAAACTTAATATGAAGTGCCAATGCAGCCATGATTTCTAAGCCTGAAGGCAGGCTTTGTATGCCTCTCTACTCTGTAATTTCCCAAATCCCTAGGAGTGTCTTCAAATATTTAGAATTGGTGTTAGTTCCTCTACTGTTACCTATGTGGAAGGCCTTCACCTAATTTTTCTGTGCCACTTCATTGACATGAAAACCTGCTTGGTGCTAAACAGCAATTTTGTTTTTCTCTGTTAAAACATTCAGCATTTTAATTTGCCTTTAGTAATCATGCCTACAGTCTTTCTATCATTCTATTACTCAACAGTAATACTTTATCCCATACTGTCTGCAGTGCTTGCAGTGGGATAGGGAGCAAGGATTCAGACCAGCTTTTGTGGTCTTGCTGCTGCACAGCTGCTAGACTGCAGCGAGAAGGTTTAACCTTACTAGACTCTAGCTCATGACTGCTAACAAGGATGGTATTTATTTTAACTGTCTGTCTCAAGCACAGCATGGAGGGAGCAATGCAAGCTTTCAAATTTCAACTTCTTGCAGAATTTAAGCATCTAAATATAATCTTGAATATAGTTGACAGTCTAGCATTATACACCTACTTATAAAGCGTAGCTTGTCTGCCTTATACACTGAAGACAATTTGAGATGGTGAACTCTGCCTGACTGAGTCTTAAATTCTGAACTGAATGAAATGTACTCTTCTCATTAGCTTCTTTCTTCTAATAAAGTCTACTTTAACAATTTCAGCCTCATTAAAAACCCTTAATAATAAAGAAATTAGATACAAACCCAAGAAGAGGTTAGGAAGTGGGAAGGTTGAGTGCAAATTAAAATCAGATGGCCAGACTGTATTTTTATAACTTAAAGATCTTCTGTCCTGCTGTGCACACTCGAGTTCTTGGATAGGATTGTTAAAATTGGGTTTTCAGTTTCCACTTAATACATATGGGAAATGCTTGACTCCCTAAGATAGCTCTGAGGTCCCATAATTCTTAGCTGAGAGCGTTTCTGTTTCTGTATAATGATGCAGTCTTAAATTCTAGTTATGCTGTGTGTGGCTTTTTTATGGAGTAGTCTTGAGCTGTAATGAGTTGCTGCACAGAAAAACATTTTAACTACTGAAGCACAGGGATTTCTTGGGAGGGTAACGTACCTAATATCCTACGACCAAATGGGCAGTATGGCTGCTGTGAAGTATATACTAAAGGTTTTTCTAGGTTTTCTGGGTTGTTTATAATCTTCATATATGCCTGCACGATAAGTTAATTTGATACTTATTTCCCAGTTATTGATTTAATTTAAAAATGCTATTTGTTTTTTGTATCAGTACAATCTATGAAATCGTTTTAGTAATATAATGAAAAATCCAGTGGACTAAAGCAACTTTGAAGTCCTCTAGACAGAAGTCTTGCAACTTTTTAGAGTTTGTGAATTTGAAGTGTTTAGCAAGCTTTCTCTTTGAAATAATAAATCAACAGATTTGTCATTGGCACGTTAAACAGCATGCACCTGCTGTTTAATACTGTAATTTTTAATGTAATTTTTAGATACTTGCAAATTAATTGTAGCTATAACTTAAGAATTATGTGACTGAAACATCATCAGAATGAATCTTGCAGGCAAGTGTGTGCATAGGTGCTATGTGCTCTTTCACAGGGAGGAGTCTGCATTGCTATTTCTAGTTTGGCTCTGACTGTGTACGTTTTTAAGGTTTGGTTGGTGGGTTTTTTTTTTTTTTTTTGGTTTTTAATGGTTCACCATGTTAGGAGATAGCTCTGGAACTACAATACCCCCACCCTTAAAAACTGTCAAGAAGTCGGATGTGGGAGAAAAACTTCTGAATCTCTTCCACTTTACAAATGTTCATCAGCTCTCCACAATGTATGGTCTGATTCCTTTGGCTCTTTCAAGGCTTGAAACAACTTTGTCCAGGATTTTAGCATGGTGTCTTCATCTTGCTGCTAGTTGTTGTAAAGTTTTTTGCAGCTTTTGCTGAGGCTTTGAGGACGAGGTTGTCCTGAGAGAACCTACAACTGCCACACACTTGTAGAAAAAGCTGCTTAATGCAATCACACTTTCAGAAGTGTTGTCTCTGGCTATCCTCCTTCTCTATGATGGACAAATTAGAAATGGGGTGGGGTGGTTGTTGGTTTGGGTTTCTTGTTTTGGGGGTTTTTTTTTTGACCTTGTAACGTTTGAGTATATCAAAAAACCCGAAACACAGTTGGTATCTCCAGCATAAGTACATTTTGTGCTACTTACCTTTTTGTAGGATTAAGAGAAGAATCTTTGAATGAATTGTTGCAAATAGTGTCAACTCTTCCTTCTGGAAGCATCTTGTCAGTTTAATAGGGAAACATTTTACAGAAACACTTATCAAAACTGCCTTCGCTGTGCTGGCTGTTAGATGATCCTCCCTAGGATGAAGGAAGATACATGGCATTACTTGATGTAATGTGGTACTGTGTGGGGTTTTTTTCATTGTTGTTGTTTTTTCCCAGAAACAAATACTTCAGTCCTCATTCAGATGACAGTTTTACTTCTGTAATTGTAGGGAGTGTTTTGCTTTGGGTGACTTTTGATGTGGGTTTTTGGTCACAGTGCAGGGGGAAAGTTCTAGATATACTGAAATGAATGCAAGATTACCATTGGCACAGGAGCTTGGTATTCACTGCTGGACTGTGTGCTATTGCTGTAACTCTTGGGTTCTTGGGTGTGTTGGCAAGACTAGTGCCTGCCTTAATTCTTATTGTCGTAATTCTGACACATGAAGGGAGGGATGTGAAAGACTTTTTCTGGTTTTAGTCAGACTGATAGTCTCCTAAGCTTTACCTAAATCCCAGTGACTTGTTTCTGCCTTGGAACTGTCATCTCAATTTACTGCATGGCATGTTGGTGCGTCTGGATTGGGAAACAGCTTATTTAAGAAAACCTGCTTTTAATAAGATATGTTTGTATACCTTGCAATTACACAATTCTGTTGCCATAAAAGAAGGTATGGCACAGAAGTGGGTCATGGCCAGAGAAGAAGAGATAACTTAATGGAACTGTTCTCTTTGCCCTATATATAGAATTATACCACACTAAAGTGCATATGACACAACAGTGTCAGAGTCTGGCTTTGTCTTGCCAAGGATCCTCCAGTGGGTACCAGTAAGAGAAGAAAGCAATCACGTCCTCATCACGTGGAAATCTGCCCAGCTTAGAACCCACGTGGTGAGCAGCTGTTTTACAGAAAGACAGGGAGCCTTTTTACTACTAGGCGGGATATGCCACTGTGGAAGACCAGATGTAGGGTTTTCTACCTTTTGGTGCTGAAAGCCTTATGCTCTTGTCCTAATAACCCTGCCACGTTGGGCATTTGAGCAGCTTGGCGCATTCTTTTTTTCAGAATTATTTTTATTACTTCTGTATCTTCTGTTTCTGGTTGTGAGCTATCAAAACTGTCCAATCCTTGGCCTCTTGTTAATTCTGCTTAATCTTGAAGCCCTCAAACTGATGGTTCTCAGTTTGTCATGCTAACAAGTGTGTGTATTACCTCTGTAATTTATTCAATGCCTTGTCCCAGGGAGAAAACGGAGCCTTCATTGCCCTCTAGCAATACAGCAGTGGACAGGGAGACAGGCTGCTTTTTAGTGAGGAAAAGTACAACCTTGTCTTGTGTTATTCAGGTGACCTAATCAGTTACATTAACTGGAAACTATGATCAGTCTCTATCATAATCTGGTTTAGATTCCCTTCTGTTGCAGGACTTTACAATTCCATTTCCTTTGTTTTTTAAAATAAAAGGAAAATTTACAATGAAATGTTGCCAATACAGTTAGTTTTTACTAAGTGTAATACAGCTGGCCTTTACCGTCATGAAAAGAGAAGGCTAGTCTTGTCTATTCAAGCTATTGCTTGCTACCTGTAAATGGTAGGTAGGATCCTAGGGTCTATTTCCAGTTATGCAAACCATGTCTTTGAAAAATTTGCGTAATATTTTTTTTCTCTGTATTTAATAGTTGAGACACTTTTGACTCATAAGTTTAATTTTCTTGTAGAGGACTTGGATCCTTGGTTGGTAAATGCTTTTGTAGTGGAAAGCATTAGCTAAGAAAGCTTTTGATTATTTGGCTTGAATACTTTTCTGATCTATAAAGGACTTCCTACCTGTATGCTGCTAAAATGCACTCTAACACACGTTTAATTATATTTCTCTTAGCTAACAAATACTTTGGACCAATGGGGGAAAAGCAGTATTTCTTTATAAAGAGCCATTTCTCTTTTTTTTTTTTTTTTTTCTCTTTACACTTAGATGATGGAACACCTGGATTATCCAGGAAATGAAGAAAGCACAGCATCAGCCAGTGAACAGCCTGCAGGACAATAACATGTAGGATCTTGATTTAAAATAGTATTCAAATTTTCTACAATTAATTACAGTAAATTTGGTGAAATTTTACAATGGAATATTTCCTACTCTGTGTAAAAGGGTTTTTTTACTCCCACATCTATATTTTTATGGAAAATATTGTAAATAACATAAAAGTAATCAAAATAGACTTGCATTTTTACAGCCAAACCATAGCTAGTCAAACCGTGCCTTATTTGGATTTAAATAAAAGGATATTTTCTATGCAATTTTCCAGATGTGTTTCTATACAGTATATTTTCACAAAAGTTGCTTGCCCGTATCAGTTTGAAGCATGAAATGTTTTCTTAATTTTGATTAAGACTACTCGAGTTTCATTTAAAAAAGTACAGTACCCTTCGTAGGATTTCTTGTCAGATTTTGAATGCAAAGGTTGATAGTAATGTAACTGTACCAACTAAAGAATGAAACTGTAGTTCCCTTACTACAAGTAATTGAACAAACAGCATGTATGGTAGTCTATGTACGTTGTAAGCCATAAAACAGACAACAGGGCAAATTTAGCTTGGAGTTGTAAACTCTTACCACCACCCTCCCCTTCTGCCCTGTAGTATCACTTATGCCTTAACTGTGAAAATTGTTAAACTTTGATGCAAGTCTTTGGATTATATACATCGCCAGCCATTTCCAAAAAAAATAAAAGGGGGGAGGTACTTACACAGTGGTCCTGGATACATAGGTGCAGCTCCTGGAATAGTTGACAAACACGATGCTGCAAAAGGCAAGAGGACTTTTGCTCAGTACGTGCTGTTTGGGAGGGTGGGGTGAAATGTTAACTCTGGCCTGGTTCTTCTCCTACCCATTCCGACTAGGTCTATATTTGTGGTCTTCATTTGGATTTGGCTGTGGATCAGTTCAAAGGGATGGGAGAAGACAGGACAGATTTATTTTTTTTTAGCTTTTGCATCTACACCATACTTCTTTTTTTTTTTTAACTATTTTTGAAAATTCTTTGCAATTGGTAGACAAAACAACAGGTTTGAATAGTGCTAGTAGTGCCTGTGTTAGTTAAGGCCAATGCATGTGTTTAACTTGTTTAATCTTAATTTGTTTTAGCTTTTACAGACTTGGAGAAATAGTTTAAGTCATTAGTTTGCATTTAGAAGAGTTTGAGTTTGTTTGGCACTTTTTCTTTTTTCAGGAAACTGCAAATTGAGGAGGATTAGGCATAGAAAACTTGTGTAGCTGTAATGCTAACACTTTACACCAAAGAAAATTGGAGAAGGCAACAACAGGAAACCACTGAGTTCACTTAGTGCTAATGTCAGGTAGTCGTTAAAACATTTTTCCTATTCTTTAAATTAATATCATTCCTCTAGTCAGTACAGGTTCAAGAACCCTGGAGAAAACAACCGAATAAGCACATGCTGGGCAATGCAGGCTTTCTTGCAGTGCCTCACATAAGTGCCTCGGTATTCGTCTGAAGGTCACCTCTAGACATTTATAGCCAGTTTGGGGTGTGTCGGCTCAGGAAAACTTACCCAGATTAAATCTAGTTTAGCTAGATTTACTTTGGAAGTATGCTAATGAAGATAATTGTAAATCTGTATTGGCAGTTAACACAGGCTTACTGCAAATTTGCCACTTTACGTAATTTATATCAAGTTTAAACTTTTGTTCACAAGAGTCAGGAGCAGACAAATTTACAGCTTGAGTATCAGTTGTTGCCATTCACACAGATTGACCGTGGTGCCAGTTGATACGGGTAAGATAACCACCTTGTTTGCATCTTAGTAGTTGCCGCTCTTGACTTTGTTGACCTAAGCTTGAACTGACAGCCTTGGAATACAATGATCTTGCACACCATCCTCAATTTTTATGTGACTGGCACTTAATAATAAATTACAGCATACCTCAGTGTTCCAATAGCAGACTGAAAACTTGTCTTCTGATGTGTTGTCATGCTCTTTGACAAGCCCAGTATCCGCCAAAGTTAAATGGTTATGAAGAAGTTTCTGAAAATTCCTGAAAGAGATAAAGAAGTCATAACTCATTCAGAGTCACACACTACTCAAAGCCCTCAGAAGCTTCACAAATCTATGTAATATGACTCCTTTTTCTCTTTGAAACCTTCTGCATGGAGGATTTATTAAACTTTCAGCTATAAATTATAATGGAATTAGTATAAATAAAGAAGACCTTTGGCAACATAAGCATATTTCAGCAGCTGGCTGTGGAAGCTCTGTCTTGTTCTGTGCCTAATTATGCTCCGTGCCTAATTATGCTCCATGCCTGATCACGCTGAGGTTTCACATACATGTGCTGCAGTTTAATGGGATGTAAACTAACCTTTTTCTTTTCAATGTTTAGGTGCTTTGTTTACAAAAATTAAGAATGGAGTTTAAAATTTTATATAAATAATAGGTTAGTATTGACTACTGAAATGAGATTTTTGTAAGTTCTATAGAACTGATTGCAACACTTCTAGCAATTTTGAATGTTTTTAATATTAAATTTGGTTGGGCTAAACACTATGTTAAAAGCCTTTTTAGTCATACTTTAATATAAAACTCTTACTACCTTTTCATTGTGTGTGTACTGACAACAGCCCCCTTCCTTTTGACTCTTAAGTTATCAATTTAAGAATGTTATTAATAAATGTTACTTGGGAAAAAAAATGGTTGAGTAATTGCTTTGTTCTGACTCATCTTTATCTTACTGTGAATGTTGATGGCAAAACAGTTAACCACTTCATAATACCGGGTTAATTGAAAATTCATTATACACCCCCATAAATATGTAGTTGCAGTTTTTATCCATCCTGTCTGATGTATCAGAGTTTTGATTCTGTTTGTAAATACCTATGTGGTGATTTTGGTGGATTGCTGGTGTCTTGTTTTTTGGTTTTTTTTGTTGTTTTTTTTTTTTTTGAGGGGTGGGGGAGGACTGAAGTCTGTGAATTGACCTACATCAGTTTTATGGCTCTAACTCAAAAAATGCTTCTTGCACAGCTGTTAGTCATGGGGCTCTGTGAAAGTGTACCTGACAAACAGAGAGTTAGAAATTTAACACTGTGCAAACTTCTTGATTGTAACAAGCTTACTTGCATTCAGCCTAGAAAATAGTGCTGTAGAAGCATTGTTCAACTGAATGTGCTCAGCCTTAGACATGAAGGGCAAGAAAAAGCCAAGCTTCAGTCTTGAAACCCAGGTGAGGCTGGGAAGGCTGGCAGGGGGTGGAAAAAAAAAATCACTGAACCTTTGATACATTTGATACGTGATCCTTGAGACATCCCTAGAACCCTGTGATAGTGTGTTTGTATTTAACATGTTTTGGAAGTATTTTAAGCCTCATCTGCTCATACACTGGGGGTTCCAGTAGCACTGAGTCACAGGAATTGAATACTTAACTGGGAGAAAATTCTCTAAATACTCTTGGAATTTACTTATTTTAAAAAGTAGAGAAGTTACAGATTTAGCTACAGAGAAAAAGACACGGCTGCAACCAGCAAACTTGTTTTTCACGGTCTGTTCCTCATGCATTCCGTTGTTGAGGCTGGTACATTTGACACTTTAGCAAAACTGCAAATCTCGGAGGCTTCAAAATTCCAAGCAGAAGAGAGGCATTTTCTTATAAGGATGGGGGTTACCATTATTAGTTAGCAAGTGCTTACTTGTTTAGATCGGTCCAATCTTTACGATACAATTCGATTTAGACATAAGAAAAAGCTTTTCACTCTAAGTGTGGTCAAACACTGGAGCAAGCTGTTTGGAGAGATTGTGGAGTCTCCATTTCTGGAGATACTCAAAATACAAGTGGACACAGGTGTGGCAGCCTGCTCTGAGCAGGGGTTTTGGACTAGGCAATCTATAGAGGAGCATTCTAACGCTACTGCTCTGATTATTAAAGCATTTTTTTGCTTCTTTTCCAGCTTGAATCATCTGCATTTTTTCTAAAATTTAATCACAATGTGGATTCGATTTTTCACTTGGAATAATTTACTTCTACTAAACTGTTAGATTTAAGCATATTTAAAAGTTGTCATTGGATTTGTAATGCTTTCAGAAGCTAACACACTGTTTTATTTTCAAGTAGCCATTTTAGCACATTTTACTGTGTGAATGATTTATCTTTCCAGATTTTGAGGAAAGGAGGAAAGCAACTCAGCCAGTTATCCCTTTTGTCAGAAGTGAGTGATCAAAGTTCAAGGTTTTGTGTTCTCGAGAGAGGCTGATGATGGAGGCTCAGGTATCTCTGGAATCCCTCTTATTTATAAAGAATGTGCATTCCCTGAACACAGAGGGCATCAAATAGCTGAGAATAGGTTTTTTGCTTGCAGCTCATAGACCTTTTAACCAAGAAAGCCTTTAGATCAAAGAGCTCCCTTTCAGCTTTTTCTGAGGAGTGCTCTCGCAGGTATTCTGCTGTCTGGTTTTCTGTTCCCTCTCCTTGCTGTACACATACTCGTCTGCTTTCTTTCCTCCTCGTTTCTATTTGGGGCAATACCAGCATGTTTTGAAGTGTCTTTGTAACATTACTTTGTCTTGGACAATAATATGTGCCTCTGTTCCAGTATGGAGACCAGCATTTATGAGGAGGTTTAATCTTTTGGACTCTCTTAAAACAAATGCAGCAGTCATACCCACCAGCTCTGTCCACCATAACAGTAATTTAAAACAAAAGCTTATCTTCTGCACATCTTTATCTCTGTTAGAGTCCCACTGACTTTCTGGGGTTGCATTAATATTGGTGCAACAGCCTAGCTTAGATCTGAAAAACCAAAAAGGTAAAGGACATTTTTTACCATTTTATCAGAAGCTGAAATGTGCTCATGCTGGCTCTCCTCATGTTTTGCAGAAAGGCTACCAGAATATTTTAACTTCTGGATTGTACATGCTTGTGAATAGAAGGAAACAGGTATCAGTACACTTAAAAGTTCAAAAATAACTCAGTTACTTTAATTTCAAGCTTTTTTGTGATGTGTCCCTATCAAAGCAACAGGAAAAGTGGAGTAATTTTAATTAATGTTTCTTTCAAAATGTAATGGAGACTATGCTTGGAAATTGATCCACCCTCATGCATTTAAGGCAACTAACTGTAAAAAAATTAGCAAACAAGTATTTCTGTACTATGTGAGTATTTCTCTGGTAGTTGATTTCAAAAATAAATTTTAGAAGTAAATTTACATTATAGTAACAATGGAAAAAAGAGCAAATGCATGCCCATTGGTAACTTTTTTCTCTAGGAAATGGAACAGCAAGCCTCTGCA